ATCCTTAAAAAGAAGATTAAAACTGTTTTGGATTGTAAAAATTACACTAAATTCATCTTAGAATTGTATTGTTTTTTAAGCCAATATTTCGTTTAAATAATTACTTTAAATTTAAAGACAGTGTTCAGAAAATGCATTGCTCTTACGTTTTCTATAAATGTACGAATACAAGTTGTAACCACGGCTATATGGGATCTTCAGTTCGTTGAGCTTAAAGGTTAAAGAGCATGCGCAAAATACTCTATATAATTTACGACATGGCTTACAAGTCCGTAACTTTCTTCCTCCTGTCCAAGATTTTAGTATTCGGTAAAGCGCTTCAAATGGAAAAAGTGGTTAAGATCAATGGAAATTACACAGTGTACTCACACTTCCTTTCCGTAGTTATGCAACATTTCCACGAAACACCTGACAGGAGTCCGTGAACCACAGATTGAGAACCGCTGTTCTGACCTCTGGAAGCCAAATGGCACTGCACAATTTGTTAAATATGGATTCAATTCAACATGGATGTGTTGTATTCTGAATGAGGATTTCATCTCCAAATCTGAAGAAGATATTGCAGATTTGTTTTGATTGCGAGGTTTTCTAAAATCTGACGTAGAAAAAAGCTCTTTGAAAAGCCATGAATGTGTCATACAGAGACACTTCACAAAAGATTGGCCACAATATACTCTTGTTTACTTCCAACCATTCAATTGTGTCTACACAAGTAGCTAAAATAATAAAGGACAATGCTGACACCTTAAAGACAAATATTAATTCTAGTTTTTCCCCTAAAAATTTGTTCAATCGTCACTCGTACGTCTCACCTTAAGATGCATTGGTTTGCACTAATGTCAACAGCAATGACAATCACCCTATCTCGTCTATTGATTATCCTCCCTGCAACAGACCACGTTTTGTTGTTTGTGGTCACGTGAACAGCCAGTGGACACATATTAGTAAGACAGGTTAGAACGTCAGTGAAAATTTCGAGGAAATAGAGGACATATACTGAAAAAGGACAGTTTTTTTAAACAACAGTAATAATG